TGCGGGGCTCTCTATTTTATGACTGAAGAGGTTTGAACACTGTGGGTTGGATCGGCCCTGAGCACAGCATTGCCTAAGCAAGCGAGGTGTCCTCGTCGCCAGTGGAGAGTTTTGAGCGTGTGTACCATTTCTCTGGTTTTTCTTGCTGACCTTGTTATGGGCTAAAACTTCTGTTTTGTTCTTAGTTGAACTGTGTGATCTCTGAAGCCACCCAAATGGTAGATAATTTGATTTTGATATTCTTAACAAATATCTCCTGTTGTCTCTGATTGCCCTAAACAAGGTCCTGTTTCTTCCCTCTGTACATTTATATGCAGATTTTCCCCCAGAGCTTCCCCGCCTGCCTGGGTCCCTCTTGGAAGGCCACTGCTTTCAGCGCCCACCGAGGGAATAGGGCAGTTTCCTCAAGTCTCCTGATCTCCGCAGTACACATGTTACCATCCTTTATGTGGATAATATGAATTTATTCCTGTCTGGTCTTCTCCTGAAACCACGTATATTTCATGGGGCTTTTTGCCCTCTCATTGATTTCATTGTCTCTTCCCATTTTAAGATTTATTTTTACTTTATTGCTGGTGTGATTTTAGTTTCTTATTCATGAAAATGAAGGAGAGAGCTTTTATGAAGATAATAAATTGCACATTGAGAATTGAGAATGCTGATTGTTCCTATCCAAGTATAATTCTTTTTCATCTATGAGAAATAGAAGATAATCTAGTTCACCTTCTACTTATTAGAGGTTCTTTTCTGTATGTGATTGAATTGGGAGGCTCTTTACTGTTGTGCTATTTAGCTATTAACTGTGAAGTGTTGAAAGTCATGTCCAACGGGGCCTAGTTTATATTCTAATAATCTTCTAGCATTTGAAATTTCTAAATAGATAATACATTCAGCAGACATGCGTTATGTTTTTATAATGTTTCAAGTGCTGTGCTGAGTACTGGAAATGCACTAAATATGGCATGACCTTGACTTTAGAGGACTCAACTATGACAAGATACTGCAGTGTGTAGAAAGAGTTGGTCTTGTCCGTGTCACACCCAACTGCCTCTTATCCATGTATAGCAAAGATCAAGTTGTTGCAACCACTCTGAGTCAGTTTTCTCCTGTGAAATGAGGAAGTTGTCCTACATGATTTATTTATTTTTTTTGAGTTGGAGTCTCACTCTGTCGCCCAGACTCAAGTGCAGTGGCCGCTGCCGGCCACCGCAGCCTTGACCTGCTAGGCTCCGGCGATCTTTCCACCTCAGCCTTCCGAGTAGCCGGAATTACAGGCATGCGCTACCACGCCCGACTGATCTTTTGATTTATTGTAGAGATGAGGTCTTGCTGCCCAGGTGAGTCTCGAACCCGCGTGCTCAGGCAGTCCACTCACCTCAGCCTCCCAAAGGCGCGGGATTACAAGCTGAGCCACTGAGCCCGGCTACATGATTTCTTATAGTCTTGCCTTCATCTGACCATTGTGTGATTACATTTCCTTAAGGTTATTTAAGGTTGTTATGAGGATCAAAGTAGAAAAATTTTATGAAAGCACTTTAAAAACTATTAAGTGCTATGTAAACAAAGACATTACAGAATACTTACTAATTTGACATTGTACATTGATATTTTTGGCTCAAAGACTAGATGCATTAGGTGTTACAGCTAAGTTCCAGAAGCTTAAGGAAAAGGATGGCTTTTCATGACTTTCACTCTAAGTTCCAGGGGAACCTTGGGGTAGCTTATTATATCTATTATTGAATAAGGTAGGTTCTCTGTAAATATGCATTGATCTGAACTATAGATTTCAGAAACTCAGCATAATTACAAAATAAACTGCAATCCCAGGTAATATTGATTTGGATTATCTATTCTACACTAGGCTTATGAAATTCTGGATTAATGGGTAATTATCCCTCACTATATATTAGTTATATTTATGCAAATATGGTTATATGTTTAATTTAAATGAGGGTTGCATTTCCCTCAGGGGTCAGTTTTCTTTGGCTTTTTTTGTCCATTACAAGTATGGTATATAGCATATGCCAGACCTTCACATTTATTTTAAAGTAGTTTTGTTTCTGTTTGTCTGTAGATCATAAGAACCCCTGATAATATGAATGAGGACTTACCCATAAGCCGACATAAAGATGAATCAGGGACCATATTTTAACAATTATGACTTGATGCTTATCTTCGAATCTAAGTAGTAATTTTAATTCTGAAATTTTTTGTTATACATTATGATTGTCACTAGTCTATAAAAAGTTTTCATAATGTATGCTCTTTCCTTTTGTCTGACTTGTTTATAATTACTGCTATATAATTTTATTTACTGTTGAAATGGTGAGGTCTGTTCACTAAAAGCTGCCTTTGAAGTAAAATGTGTATATATTTTTATTTGCAAAGATCCTGGCAGTGAAAAGTAATACTAACTGTTGTTCATTTAATCTGTTAGCATTTGAGGGTAAAGCTTGCAGATTAATTTGTGTTTTTGTTTGCATGATTATTAATTCGATCTGCCTTCAGCTTTGGAAGAACAAAATCATTACCCTGTTCTGCTGGTAAACTCACACCTCATGACTCACCACTTTTTATCTATGATAGGAAAATGGTGCTTCATTGTGAAAGTTAGAATTGGGTTAGTCAACCAGAAGCGAACCTCTAATTGTTTCCATATGCTTACTTTTTGGGTTTGGATGCTGCTCTGAGTCTTAGCTCAGTCAGGAATTTGCTAAGCTTGTCTTTTTCTCCATATCCTTTCATTATGGTTGGATAGGTCCAAGCTAAAATCTGTTTTATGATTCCCCAATATAATAGTTTGTCAGAAAAATATGGACACAAATTCCTGCACTAAACACAATTTTAAAAGGCAAAAACTAAAAAAAAAGAAAGAAAAAGACTAAAACTAGAGTGTCTACAGATATCTTTTACATTTTTATGACCCTTGAAATTACTGTAGAAATTGACCTTGGTTCTAAATTGCATATCACCATGTGACTTAACAAGTAACTATTTCCCCCATCACAGATTTATGAAATAGTTATGGCTCCTATAGCTGCAATTCTTATGTTATTTTAAAGTTGCTGTTGTAGAAAATGAGTGTGACATGCCCATTTGCTTTTGTGAAATTTAATCATTTTATTAAAGTTCTATCTAAGGAGGCAGCCATTCCACATTTCATATATGGAAAAATTAGTAAAGCCCATAATTGACCCTTACTGAAAAAAGAAAAAAAAAAAAAGACGAAACAGAAAAAGACAAAAAAAGAAAAAAGAAGAATGCACCCTAATTTGTTCCTTTATATCAGTTATGATGTCTTACATTTAGTTAATTTTAAAATAAATGTTTGATTCTAACATTAATTTCATTAAAATGTTTATCTGCATATGGTTCTTGAATTGATAAGTGATCTCTAAATCCCTTTTTAATTCTAATATGGTATTAACTGTGATCCTGAAACTTTCTTACCAATTCTAGAGTTTTCAGCTAAGGTCCTCATGAGCCAAGTGAATTTCAGGAAAAATGGATGTACTCAATTCTTTTTTGAAAAAGATAGTGTCAGGGAATAGCCAACTTGGGGAGGCAGCACCCATGGAATAGACACATGAATGTCTAAACAAAGATTTGGGGACATCTTTGTATGGTCGTTCTTATGACTTACCAAGAGCCTGCAGGCTGTCGAAGATAATGTCCTGGTGTGTAATACTGATCATCTCAGGGATTATTACAGAGGGGAATCGCAGTCTCTTAAACTAGACAAAGTCTAGTGTCTTAAAAATGAAACATTGTAAAAGGTGTTCACGAAGGACACTTCAGCCTGTGGCTCTGGCAGTGCCACTGCCCCACTGTGCCTTCTGCTGCAAAGATGCCACTCCTTCAGAAGATCACTTAAGCTCTTCTTGCGAGATCTTCCTTGAGAAATGTTTTGTTCCGTTTATCTTGGCTACAGCTATTAACAGGAGATGTTTTACTTTGAAATTTTTGAGATTCTGTAAGTTTAAAGTAATAACAGTTTTAATCTAATAAACGGAATGAAACTCCCTTTGACCTCCCTCTCAGTTGGCTTCAAGCAGTCGAACAGAGCCTTACTGCCCTAGCCCTAACCCTAATCCTAATCTTAACTCCAGCCCTAACCCTAACACTAGCTCTAACTCTAGCCCTAGCTCTAACCCTAACCCTAACCCTAACCCTAACCTAACTCTAATCCTAGCCCTAACCTCCCTACTCACTGGGCCATCTGGAAAGCTTCTCAAACATGTCAGTCATTCCCTGAAAGGATTCTGACTCAGAATTCAGAAACAAGAACAAAACATGACTCCGAGGTACATCTGATACGGAGCTAGGTTTGAAAGCCATTGCACTAGTCATTGTTTTGTGGACATTTAATCATGTAAACAGTAAATAAAGCAGTGGCTTCCAATTCTGCTCGAGGACCAGCTACTGCAACACATGCAGACCTTGGCCCCATCCCTGGAGGTGCTAAGCTCTTTTTACTACATCTGTGGCTACTTTTTAAAGAATGAAATATAACCAGTAAATAAACAGGTCTGAAAAATATTGGACAAGTGGACTGATGTATTCATTTTTTATGTTTTTCTTGTCAGTACTTCAGATCTGCATATCAAAACACTTAATTAACATTTCCTAGAAGTACAATATGCTTTCAGTGTTAACATATGCAGAATAGAACTCTTCATTTGGGGGAATTTTGCATCAGTATAGGTTATGATTACCTTGGACGGTTCTAGCCACATTGGAGTCATGTGCTATGTTAGATTTTTAGATGATCCAGTATTATTCTGTTTTATAACTTTTATCTTCCATACAGTGACACATTTTCTCTAGTTCTTTTACTTTACTTAATAACTTACTGATCACATGAAAAATTTTTATTTTTCCTCATATTTTCTGATAAATCTTAGAATATATTTTACTATTGGAAGATATTTTGTAACTTCTTGTAGGATGGGATTGTTAGAATGTGGCTTTAATAAATGTGTTGTCTTCCTTTTCCTCAGTGTTATTCCTCTTTTAAGAGAATCTGTTGGAATACTAATGCAGAGAACACCTCCCCTGCTGGAAAACACTCTGCCTCAGTGCTATCAGAGGGTGAGTTCCAGAGCTTCCAGACTATTGGGTTTCATGCTGTTTCCAAACTGTTTGGGTTTCAGCTTTCACAAATATGGATAGCATGTGTGTAATAATTGTGTATTTCTTCCAAGATTGAATTGACCACGAATGCCATTTATACAAACCAGAATAAAATCATCGGAAAATATTGACCTTTACTCAAGAAAATGTGGTAGAAATTGTCCTGGTCTAGAAACTGAGCAGTTCTTTTAAAATACAGACTCTGTATAGCTGAGAGATAGTACAGAATATGTCCAGCATTTGGTTAGCATGTATTTTTTGAGCTCCTACTCTGCCATTTTCTGAGGTGCTGGGACGGTCATGGCAAATGGGACAGAGTCTGTTCTGTTCTCACAGGGCTTATAGTCCAGGGTGAACACAGGTGCTGAACAATAAATAGATTAATAAAATATCAATGATAATCATTATACTAGAAATAAAACAAGTTATTCAGGTGTGGAGGCTCACACCTGTAATCCCAGCACTCTGGGAGGCTGAGGTAGGAGGATCATTTGATACCAGGAGTCTGAGACCAGCTTGGGCAACAAAGTGAGACCTCATCTCTACAAAAAATTAGCTGAGCATGGTGGCACATGCCTATAGTCCCAGCTACTTGGGAGGCTAAGGCTTGAGCCCCATGAGTTCAAGGCTGCAATGAACTGTGATGGTGCCACTGCACTCCAGCCTGGATGGATGACAGAGTGGGACTCTATCTCCAAAAAAAAAAAGAGAGAGAGAGAGAGAGTGAAAAGAAAGAAAACAAGGTGATGTGATAGACATGGTTGGCTTCAATTAGACTCACAGAAGAAGAGATATTCAAGGAAGCTGAATCCTTGATGACAACAAGGAGCTAGCCATATGAAAATCCTGGAGAGGAATATTCTAGCAAAGGAAAATGCTAACGTAAGAGTGCTACGGCTGGAACTAATTTAGTGTGTTTGAAGAACAGAAAAAGGGCCATTATGGCTGAAGCCTATTACATAAAGGGAAGAATGGCTTGAGCGGTATGAAAAAGCATCAGGAGGTAGATCATATGGGTGCTGGTCATACTGCAAGGTTCAGATTTAGTTCTGATTCAGTGGAAGCATCGGAAAGCTTCCAGGAAGCAGAAACATCATACATCTCATGATTTTACAAGATTATTCTGTTGGTTATTGTAGAGAATAAATTCTAGGGAGAATGGAAACGCAGAATATCAGTGATGAAGCTGCTGTCATCTAAGTGAAAACAGTGGTGGCATAGATGACAGTGGAGGCAGTAAAGATGGGGAGAATTACCCATTTGGGATATGTTTTGGAGGTGGGTTATGTTAGTGGAAAAAGTGTTGGGTCACTTTTTCCACTAACATGGCAATGCCACCTTTTGAGATGGAGGCCTTGTTGATACAGATTTGAGGATGCAAAATCCCCTCAAATGAAGAGCTCTGTTCTGCATATGTTAACATGGAAAGCCTATTGTACTTCTAAGAAATGTTAATTAAGTGGTTGGATATGCAGAGCTGGAGTTGTGGAGACAGTTTAGGACCTGGAAGAGCTCTGAGTCATTAGTATGTGAGCAGCATTTAAAACAATAAGGTTGTCTTAGGTTACCCCGGGGAGCTTAGAGCTCTGTTCTCTTAGCTCTGCATTCAAGTCCTGGTTTAGGGTGGGGGCTGGAAGATGGGGAGGCCAAGATAAGGGGGACTTTGTAGGGAGCTGGAGAGCAGAGGAGAGTGGGGTCACAGAGCTGAAGGAGGAGGACATGGGACCCGTGCTGGGTATTTGCAAGGTCAGATGAGGTGGGAACAGAGAAGTGACTGGTTGCGGCACTGTGAACATGAATGATGCTGCTGTGAGCAGTTCGAGTGTGGAGAGGAGAGCATGGCAAGTAGGTAAAGGAGGAGATGGGCTAGGAGGAGAGGCAGTGACCATGACAGCCCCTCTAAGAAGCGTTGCTGTTAAAGGGAGCAGAGATGAGTTGGTGGCCTGGATGTGGACATAGTGTCAGGAGAGGGTATTTGTTTTTTTTTAAAAATAGGATAATTTAGAACAGCATTATCCCTTAGAACTTTCCTCAATAATGGAAATGTTCTGTAATCTGCATCGTCCAGTATGGAAGCCACAGGCCACATATGGCTAATGGACTGATTTTGTTAATTTAACTTGTATTCATTTAGATAGTCACATGTGTCTGGTGGCTTTTGTGTTACACAGCATGGTTCTAGAAATATGTGTTACTGACAGGAACTGTCCAGCTGAGAGGAAGAAATTAATGATTTAGTAGTGAAGGGGATTATTAAAGGAATAAGGTTCTTAAGAAGGTGAGCAGATAGAACCCAGAGCACAATGGAAGGGTTAATTGTAGACGGGGCAGGGCACTAGACCCCTGAGGGAGGGCAGGTGCTAGCGTAATTGAGGATTGCCTGGTCGGTCTGATGGTACAAAACATGGAGTCTGCCGTGTGCTTCTGCTTTCTCTGTGACTGGCAAGGCCCTGTCATCATGCGAGAGGCTGGAAGTCTCAAAGAAGAAGGGGAAGGTGTGAAATGGTCTTCTGAGACAGGGAGAGTGAAATGGAGCCCATAGAAGGTTTGTTATTTTAGGGTGGAATCAGTCAGCATAGTTGAGGAGGACAATGTATTGAACGCATACATATATATATATATGTATCTTTTTCACAGTAAACTACAGGGTAAGTGTCATCTTCTTTTCCCTGGGTAAAATTGGGACTCATCCTAGGTCACAGATGCTGGTGACCGTATCCAGATCCTAGCCCATATCACTCTGACTCTAAAGCCCTCACCTCTTCTACTCATTCATACTGCCAGAGCAAGAATAGCAACACAGACTTTCATCTGCAACTACCTTCTCCCCAGGTGTTCTTAATTTGGAGAGTGAAGTCAGTTTCCACAGAAACCATTCCTTAGTCTGTGTTTAGGATGACAGCAAGAATGTGCCGCTGCTCCTGGGGAGGTGGAGCAGTCTTCTCAGTCAGGCTGTCTCACTAACTGTGGACCACACCATGAGGATGCCATTAGAGAAATGTGGAGGGACAGTGGTTGAAACCGCTGTGTCATCAGAGTCCAAAAGAGGAAGAAGATGTGCACTCTGTACTCTTCCCCGTAAGAGCAGTTTTTAAAGAAGGCACAGTGGGTATTTTCTCAAATTTCCTACCAACTGTCTTGGAGTTTATAGAAATAATGCCTCCGTGTGTCGGATTCTGATAAAAATGAAAATGTTGATAGACATAAGGTTTTTGTTTTGTTTTGTTTTGTTTTTAAATTAACTTCCCAAATGCATTACCTAAACATCAGAGTCTTGGAGTCAAGAAAGAGCTTGTTGTGCATTGGTCCAGATTCTGTCTGTTACAGGAAGCTCCTCTGTACTGTCAGCTGGTCCTCCAGCTGCTCCTTGACAGAGTTAACATATTCACAGAGTAGCATCTTGCTTTGTAAACAGCCGTGATTGTTATACAGATCTTTTCACCTCGAGCCTTTCCTTTAACTTCTGAGTACTGATCTTAGTTCAACTCGGGCAGATCTATACAGAGATGCTAAACAGTGATGGTGATTTGGACATTCTTCTCTTCTTCCTGATCCCAAAGGGAATTTATCTAAGATTTCAGCTTTATTTCCTGCACATTTTTGGAAGATATCTGTATTAAGGAAATGTCCTTCTAACAGTTTTTTTTTCACATCATAAATAAGTGTTGAGCTTTATTAAGCAATTATAATGCCTTTATTGAAATGGCTGTGTGACTTTTCTCCTTGACTTCATTAATTGAAGAATACCATGAGTAGGTTTCTGATGTTAAACTATTCTCTCCCTCTTGGGGTAAACTCAGCTTAGTCATGATATGTTATTTTTAATACACTGTTGGATTTAACTTATTTAGTTCATAAGATAAATAACCTTATGACTTACTGTCTTTATCTGGTTTGGGGTCAAGTTTATTTCTCACTAATACAGGTAGCAGATCCTTTCCATTTTCTGGAACACCTAAGGCAAAGGTCATCTCTTCCTTGAAAGTTGCTCTCTGAGGCTTTTTTTTTTGGTATTTCCAGAAATTTATCTATTTTGTTGAGGTTTTCAAAATTGTGTTTTTATTCATTTAATATATATACTATTTACTGAGCACTTATTTGGACCAGGCACTGTTTTAAGTCTAAAAATACAAAACATAAAACAAAACCAAAAATAAATCTCTTACATTGTTGAACTGAAGTTCTGCTGAAGGAGACAGCAGTAAACAAGGTGATAGATAGATAGAAGGTGGGTAGATAGATAGCTAGATGGCAATAAACGAGATGGTAAGGTAGCTATGTACATACACACATGCATAGGTAGGTAGAGAGAGAAGTAGATGGGCAGGTAGGTAGATAGATGATAGATACATTCATGCATACGTAGGTAGATAGATAGTGAGGGAAGGAGGGAGGGAGGTAGGGGAGAGAGAGATACATAGGTAGATAGGTAGGTGGGTAGGTAGGTAGATACATACGTACATAATACATCGATAGATTATAGAAAGATACATAGATGGATAGATCATACATAGATACGTAGATAGAGAGTGTGTGTACACTACGGTGTAGTGTTATGTGCCAAGCAGGGACATGTAGCAATAAACTGTTTCAGATAGGGTATCATGAGGTGGGCTTACTGCGAGGAGATGACATTTGAGTAAAGACCCAACATATGGACCGTGCAGACATCTGGGGAAGACTCCTCCAGGCAGAGGGCATGGCAGGTCCCTGGGACCAGGCTGAGGTGGCTGATGAAAGGGAAGAGAGGCGGCGGAGGGCTGAGGGAGTGGGGATACAAGGAGCCGTTTGACGGGTTCCTGCATGTCACTGTACAAGCACTGGTTTCACTCAGAGGGAGACCAGGGGCCCAGGAGGATTCTGGACAGAGTGGCAGCGCCTGCCTGAAATCCAGGGTCTCTGGCCTGCTTCGGGAAGAGGTGGATGTAGTACAAGACTGGAATTTGAGACCTGAGATCCTGTATGATCCAGACTGGAATCATGCAAATTGGGGCTGGGTGGGAGCAGGGCGGGTGGGGAGCAGGCCTAGGCTCTCCCTGGGTATAATCATTGTGCATTCGGATATTGACACATTCCTATAGTCAGCGTCCTAGTCCTTATGGTTTTTGCAATCTTTTGTTTGTAGTTACTTCTTTTTTCCATTTTGTATTGTTAAACTGCATCTGATTTTATCTTTTTACTTTGGTCCAAGGTCTTGTGACCAGTAGTTCTCAGCTTCAGGCTGTGGAAAACTCAAGGAGTGGTTGGAAAACCTGAGGTTGGCATATGATTTGGGGAAGGGCGTGTGTTGGCATTTCATTCCTGGGACCCAGGGATGCAAAGTCCTGTGGTTTTTTGGACAGACAGACACAGTGAAGAACTGTCGTGTCCAAAATACACTTCATTCAGAAATACCCCTGTAGCTTATTGATCTTATCGAAACTGGTTTGTGATCCATGAAGTCCATTGTTTTACATCTCCAGTCAGGGCTTCTGTCCTTCTCTTCCTCTCTCATGCCTTTTTTTAAATTTTTATTTTTTAGTTAGTGTCTCACTTTGTTGCCCAGACTGGGGGGCAGTGGCCGCTCCCAGCCACTGCAGCCTCCACCTGCTGGGCTCCGGTGATCCTTCTGCCTCAGCCTTCCAAGTAGCTGGAGCTACAGGTGCGTGCTACCATGCCCGGCTAATTTTTTGACTTATTGTAGAGATGAGGTCTTGCCAAGTTGCCCAGGCGGGTCTCGAACCCGCAGGCTCAGGCAATTCACTCACCTCAGCCTCCCAAAGCTCAGGATTACAGGCTGAGGCACCGAGCCCGGCTTCTTACGTCTCTTTATCTGTCATCTCAGCTCATTTGTATCCAGACGGTTCTCTGTTCAGTGTCTGCAGCATGCTCAGGCATGCCCTCTGGTTCTGATCTGTGCTCCCTCAGGTCTTCCTTATACTCATGTACCTGGCATTTGACCTCCTCTCTGGACCAAGTGAGTGGGCAGAGTTCCTGTTCCTGCCACGTGGCATGATAGCTGTGAGTGGCCTGTCGCACTGGTTCTTATGTTGCCTCTCCCGCGTGTTACCAGGTGCAGCAGCTGCAAGGGGTCTACAGCCTCCAAGAACAGCACTTCTGGACCTTGTGTTCTGATGTCTACGTGGGAACTTTGAAATTAGTAGTAGCGCCTGATGCTGATGCTAGGTGGATTTTAAGCCAAACACATAATATTTTTACTCAGGTATGACTTTTTTATGAACTTCTTTTAAGAGTCTTAAAATTTTTTGTATCTATAAGTCTTTAAAATGATTACTATTTAACATATATATGCTACTAAACTATGAGGTAAGCATAAAACTGCATTTTTTCAACCACAGAGTCAAGTTTGGGAAATCTTTATTTTAGTTAATACTATTAAGGAAGATAGTGTTTGGAATAAGAATAATAGCTTGTCAGTGGCTTTAGCTAAAAGCCAAAAGGCTATTAACTTTTTTATGTGATAATGAAACCATGGTTACCTATTATGTGACTTAATATTTAATATACTGTTGGGTTTTTCTTAATAGCATATTCAAATTATGAATTAGGCTGGGCATGGTGGCTCACCTGTAATCCTGGCACTTTGGGAAACCAAGGTAGGAGGATTGCTTGAGCCTAGGAGTCTGAGACCAGCCTGGGCAACATAGCAAGACCTTGTCTCTACAAGAAAAAAAAAAAAATTAGCTGCGTGTAGTGACACACATCTATAGTACCAGCTACTCTTTGGGATGCTGACATTGGAGGATTGCTTGAACCCAGGAGTTCAAGACCAACCTGGGCAATAAAGCAAGACTTTGTCTTCACAAAAATAAAAAATGAGCCAGGTGTGGTAGTGCTGCATCTATAGTTCCAACTACTTGGGAAGCTGAGGTGAAAGGATCTCATGAGCCCAGGAGGTCAAGGGTGTGGTGACTGTGATTGTGCCACTGCACTGTAGCCTGGATGACAGAGTGAGACCCTGACTCAAATAACAACAACAACAATAAATCATGAATTAGTGCATGGTCTGTAGCCAGGTTCTTTCAGTGAAGGCTTGTGCCTTCACTGAAATGTAGGCATGTGACTGATATTCACAGTAAGGGTGACTGTTGTAGTGTATTGTATACATACTGGGAAACTAAGAAGATCATTTCAGTAACATCTGAGAAAGAGGGAGAGTGAACTTAAGTTCTTTCTTTGGCCTTGTTTGCTGGTAACAGTTGGCAAAAAGGAAAAAGAAAAACCCTCAACATTGTCACATCTATCAGAATGATCTAAGACATAGATCTAGTGAAGAAATAGGTCTGTGCCTTACAAATCTGTGGTTGGAAACCGACATGCTGCATCTCCTGGGGTGATGCCATGGGGTAGGTACTTGACCTATGTGTGCTCGTGCCAAAAAGTATACCTTAAATCTAGTCTTGAGCAAACAACTAGGCAGGCCCATCTTGTGGGGACTGTTAGAGGATTGTTAGTTGGAGTATTAGAATGTGGAGAAAAGGGTAAGGATCATTCTAGATTAAGGGAGTAGCCACGATTAAATGCACTGTGTGGTCCCCAAGTGGATCTTGGATGTGGACAGACACATCCACAAGGAAGTGCTGGGTCATCAGGATGTGTGAGTGTAGCCCACAGAGCAGTCCACACAGTTGTGGATGCTGAGCTTCTGGGGTGACGTGGTGTTGTGGTGACAAGGAAGTTCTCATTCATAGGAGGCACAAGCTGAAGGGAAAGTGTTAGGATTTCTACTTTTCAAAGGTTTTGGCAAAAAATGAAACGATTACAGATAAATGTGTACATAGAGAAATAAAGCAGAGATGGCCCAGTGTTGACAACTGGTGCCACAGGTGATAGTTATCTAGGTGTTTACCGTCCTGTTCTTTTGACTTAAAAACTTTCCAGAAAAAAAAGTTGAAAACTAAAAACCTGGTGGCTCCTCGTTGCCCCCAGGGTGAAGCCCAGCTTTCTGGCACAACCCAGGTGACTGTTCAATCTCCCTCCTGCTTTTATTGCCGTGGACTTTACACTCCAAACCGACCAGCCTGTTTCTTCTACTGTGGGAGACAGAAGTCCTACTCCAGCCTAAAGGTCCATGCAGCTGTTACTTCCTCTCTGGAGACTTAAAGGCCCCTCTAAGTAGAATACTTTACCCAGGATACGCACACTACATGCTATACACTGTGTTGTTCTGTAGGTTCCTGCAGATGCCATGGTGCCACATTCCCAGTGCTTAGAAGAGTAGATGTATATAATGGATTTGTTGCATAAACAAATTCTTAAAACCGTATTTGAACAGAACCGCCTTTACATATGCTAAGTATGGAAAAATATTGTTGAGTTCTCACTGGCCTTTTAACCACAAGCACAAAAAGATCTTAATGAAATATAGAATCGCTCTTCTCTAATAAAGAGAAACGTGACTGGGTCTCTTTGGGAATAAATGAATGAAGTAATCTTATGTGTAATTAGGATTTACTCCCGTCCTGAGCATGTGTGTAATCAAAAGGTACACAACAACAGAACAACATGCTGATACTCCTTATTTATTTCAGAACTTTAACAACCAGCCTCTTTCTGAGCAGACACTAAGTCTGTGTCATGACAGTGTCATGATGGCCTTCATAATGATACATGCCTGGCCCTCCCGTGTCCCCGAATCCTTTTCAGCCTCCCTCTTGTTTCAGGGACAAGGAGAGACCAGGCTGGTGGTGCCCTCGCTTCTCACTGCCATTTCCCGATCATTCTTCCCTCCTTTACCCTGAATCTTCTCCAATTTTGACCATGTCCTCCCCCCATTGTAGTGTGAGCTTCTGTCCTCAGGGTCAGCCTGGAAGATCTTGCACTTGGCTTTCCCTCTGGAGCAGAATGCAGTTTCCAGACTTGGACGCAGACAGCAGCTGTCAGTGCTTGGAACTGCTGAACTTGCCCTTCCAGTAGGTGGAGGGAGGGTCTTCTGGGAACCCTCGAGGTTTTGGCTTTTTAAATGGCTGAAGTTGAAAGTTTATTCAGCTGCTTTTTTGGTTTTGGAAACTGCATTTGCACTTGGAATATTTTAAGCTTTTTTTATTAGCTGAAGTCAAGTCAACTTTATTTCATTCCTTACGGAGACCAGGGGATGCTTTGGGGCTTGCAGTGAAGATGGTTCAATGCATTTTTCCCAGGGAGGAGTGAGAGTTACCCTACTAATGGCTTTTATTCCTATACTTAATGATTTTACAGTTGTTTTAAGAGCACTGTTTTTGTTCTGACATATGCAAATTAAACCTTTTTTTTCTTTTCTTTCTTTTTTTGAGTTTGTGTTTCTTTGTTGGCCCAGGCTGGAGTATAGTAGCACCATCCATCACTGTTCACCACAGCCTCAGCCTCCTGGGCTCAGACGATCCTCCCACCTCAGCCTCTTGAGTAGCTGGGACTACAGGTGCACACCGTTATACCGGGCTAATTTTTTTATTTTTGTAGAGACGAGTTCTTGGTGTGTTGCCCAAGCTGGTTGCAAACTCCTGGGCCAGACATTCCTCCTGTCTTGACTTCTGAAATTGTTGGGATTACAGGCATGAGCCCTTGCATCTGGCCTTTTTTGTTTGTTTGTTTTTGTTTTGTCTCTTCCCTAGCACTGCATGTCCTTACACTATCAGATAGGGTTGCGAGAGCATTTTCATTTCATTTCATGAAATTTAAATTTTAAATTACATTTTATTCATAACTTTTACTTCTCAAAATAACAAAAGTCATAGTGAAATTGCTTTTATTTTTTTTTTCTTCTTAGAGACGGGGTCTTCCTGTGTTGCCAGGCTGGTCTTGATCTCCTGGCCTCAAGGAATCCTCCTGCTTCAGCCTCCCAAGGTGCTGCGTGTGAGCCACACCTGGCATAAATTGCTTCATTTTTGAGAAAAAAGATCACACTAATGCTTTAGGTATATTTCTTATAGAAAGATTTAAAATACTGGTGGCCTTAATTCCAAAAGACCAAAAGAAGGATTTTTTTCAATAATGACTTATACCCTTTATACTGTTAGTTATATTTTTAGGTATTTTTCTTACAGCGGATCTTAACTTAGAATTTAAGTCATAGTTTTTGGTTAAACATTGCTCTTATTAAAACATATATGAGGGTAACTTTAAACTGAGAAGAATAGCATCAGAAGTATGAGAATTATAACTTCTGTTTTTTAAAACTATAGCTTTTTGACTGCTTTAGAACTGTATACTAATTAAGTCCAGAGCTACCAGTTAACCTGTAACTACTGAGGCAGCTGGCTTGCCAGGCGTGAATGTAGAGTATCCATACAAGTGATTTGCTGGGAGTCACTTCGGTACTTAGATTCCTTTGGGATTCTCAAGTGACAACCCAGTTTTTAAGCCACAAGGTTTTGTGCTGGCATAGAAAAAGCCCTGGCCCCCTTTCCCCTTGTCGTTTGGGAATTGATAAAACGTAGCATTGATCTTTTGTGTTCAGCATATGAGCAGGAAGAGAAAGTGGGGTCCTAGATTAGGGAGGCGAGTTAACATTTTGGGTTTTGTATTTTAAACTGGCCAGTATCATTTGTTAATTTTTAAAATACAACACATGTGACAATCATCACTGTAGTCCTAAATGTCTTAATATACTTTGTTCTGTTAGAAATAATATTTGAAGACGACATGTTAAAGAAATGCCTGGAATATGCCTGGTGTGTGCCACCCTCCTCAGTCCCACAAAGCCCACGCGATGCCCCGTGCGTGTGTGCTCCCCGATGGGATTGCTGCCTTCTCCGCTCGTGCTCGCAAGTCCTAGGCCCGGCTTTCTGCTTCTGCTCTTTGTGCTCTAGCCAGCCCTGGGCCTCACATGGCAGTTAACATGGACACCCAGGAAGGAACCGTGAGTCTCCCAGGCCCAATGGGAGTCTCGGGTTTCAGAAACCCTGCCTGCGTAGGCTCCTGAGCCCTAGTCCCTTCCGGTTCTCACCTACCATGCTGTGGGCTTAGGGCAGGGCAGGGAGTAGAAGGAGGTGTCCCGCTTTCCACCCTTTCCATCTTTGTTCTACTTTCTCTAGAGGCTTTAAGTGTTGGCTTTGTGATCCGCCCCGCAGTGTCTGTGTGTCCATCTTCCCGTGTTCTTATAGCAGGCACTTGTGGTCCTCAGGAGGTGGTGGGACAGCCATACGGTCTGTGTGTTGGTAGGTGACAGTGGTGGAAATAGAGACAGCATCAGCAACTGTGCCAGCCTGAGAGGTGTCCAACAAAGTAATGGCCTTCCAAAGACAAGAAGACAAGAAAGCAAGCCCAGGGTTGTGTTTGCATTTTGACCTGTAACTTGGTCCTACTTATGCCATTTTACCAACCCTGAAATAACTTAGGTATCGCATGGAAGCGTAAGGCAGTTTCTCAAGACTTTATTTTTAAAAGGACAAAGACTAATATTACATGTTCATCGCAGACTCAGAAAATTTCTGTCATTTTTGATTGGTAGAGAATGCAAGCAAAATGATACATTTTATAGTCATATTCCTATTTTCTTTCATGAATTTTTCACTTCTGATTTGTTCTCTGCTCCACAACAATGAATATTCATTGAAGATATTCCAAGTCTGTGATACCAGCTTAACATTTACGTTCTTAGGAGCATGTAAGTGTAGAAAATAGCTAGCTGTCTTTCCCATTTTAAAAAGTGCTGACTGCAATATGGCTTGTCCATGATTCTCAGGACACACATGAGTGTTCCGTGGTTTCGCTGTAAGGACCTGCCAGCCAGCCTCTGGCCCAGTGTCCTTCTGTGGAAGAGCCTGTGATGCCTGAGCCCTGTTTCATCCTTGGAGGATCTGTCATGTCGTTGTGATGTGAATAAACTAGAAAACCTCGTTGCACTCAGGGAGTAGGTGACTTGCCACAGGATTCCCCGGCAGCACCTCTTTCTCTCTACTTTGAAGGAAATTAAAAGAGGAAAATGAGAATCTGGAAAGTCTGGGTGGGTCCAGCGGGACAGATGGATGAAGCGGAATGACTCTTTGCAGTTAGCCTAAGCTTGGTGGGAAGCCACAGGCCCTGGGGGCAGGACGTCAGCTTGAGTAATTAGCTCATGATTATGCAAAGATGCTCTGCCAGCCTCTGTGTTTCTCTTTCTTCTTACTGCCTTGGGCGACTCCCTTTTTTATGACCATCTTCTGTGTTGGGCCTGGGAGCTGTAACGTAGCAAACAACAAAGGAGCCCGCCCTCTGCCCACTTCACTTTCACTAACAGTTTTTTTGAAAGCAAAAAGAAATTAAGGCAATTAATGTGGGCAGTAGTTGTTTCCTATTCAGGTTAGATATATACAAGAATTTCGCAAAAGAGTTTCTAAGTATAATTATTTCAGGTGTCATCTGGTTTGAGGAAATTAAGGTACATAATTGTAATCAATCATAATAATTTGTAATAGCCTTTTCAAACAGTCCTGTAGCAATGATTTATTAGATGTTTGTCAAACACTGGATGAATATGTAATGTTTTGTGAGATTAGTATGTGTTATTAACACTTTTAAAATGAGAAAAACTGAAATTTGGTTTTAATTTTTAGCTCAGGAACATATAGATACTAAGTTCTTTTTTCTGCCACAATCTCCTTAACTAAGGAGAGGATGCTTTAAATATATTTCCCATAGGTCTGAATAACAGAGCTTTAACTTCCCACAGGAAGGCTTTTTTTTTTTTCTTTTTTGTGGCAAAACTAAAATGTTTCTGTGCTGGCAAGCTTCTGGGGTCTGTCCAATTTCATCCATTAAAGCAGTTCCTAGTGCCTTTTGAGTGTTGACTAGTGAGTGAGAGTTCTCCTACATAATGCTAGAGAAAAAGCCATGCTAGAAAGCAGCATTTTGAGGACCCCAGAAATCTCTGTAAGGCGTTAGTATTAATAGGCTTGTATCCCCCATTCTGTTTTTTTCTTTCTATTAAATATTTCCATTTGCTTTTCATTCTGTGGTATTGACAAGAAGGGGCTTATTGTGACTGATAGTTTGCTTTAATTAAAAAAAATCATTTTTGGGTCAAGATGATACTGGGTCGCTTGGGGTGTAGTTGCCCTGTGGGTTCTTGACTTCACCAAAGAAAAGAATTTCAGAGAAAGTCCAAAGTGTAGTTTAAGAGAAAATTTAATAGAAAGAAAAAACACCCTCAAGAGAGAGCATGGGCATCTTAAGAGAAAGGACACGTGTTTGCCTTTGACAAGAAGCTGTATATAATTTTACAATGATGGTTAAACAAACTATTCCATGAGTTAACAGTGGAGGGCTGCAGGTGTCTGGTCATGAGTTTTGATGACCATCTCTTAACCTTTTGAGGTCACAAGGACCTTCTAGATAATGTAAGTCACTATCTAACTATATTTGGCCTTTTCTTAGAACAGTAAGTCCCTGTGTTTGGGGTAATTCCCTGTTGTTCTTGTAATTTACCGCAGTGATAGTTTCACATTTCAGCCCCAAGATGATCAGGTTTGATATGACTGACCTGTGGGATGGAGGTTGTGTCCTCATAAGAAAGACACAGGTAGCCGGGCTCGGTGCCTCAGCCTGTAATCCCGTGCCTTGGGAGGCTGAGGTGAGTGGATTGCCTGAGCCCGCGGGTTCGAGACCCGCATGGGCAGCTTGGTGATACCTCATCTCTATAATAAATTAAAAAATTAGCCAGGTGTGGTAGCGCACGTCTGTAGTTCCAGCTACCTGGAAGGCTGAGGCGGAAGGACCACCGGAGCCCCCAGGGCGAGGCTGCGGTGGCCGGGAGCAGCCACTGCACTCCAGTCTGGGTAACAGAGTGAGACTCCAACTCAAAAAAAAGAAAGACACAGGCATGCTTAACCACCCTGTTCCTCTGTTATGTAAATTAGACCTCTCTGAGGAAACCTGCCTGACTACATCTAAACCAAGTACTATGCTAATTATCCCTGCCTCAAAAAGAAGGAAATTAGTAGAATTTCAGTTCAGCCAACAATACTGATTGCTACAGTGTTCTGGCTCCTCCTTGAGATTCTAGGAGTCCTACTGAAAAGAAGACTAAATCCTTTATCTTGAAGAGATGATGTTATATTATAGTGAGAGATACATACTAAACAAAAAACAAAGTAAAAAACCAAGTTTTGTACTAAATACCAAGGTGGTGAGTATTACGGAAGGGAGATTGGAGCTTGTACCAAGCTTTGTTTGTTCTCTGTGGCCTTTGGATGTTTCAGTGTTCAGAGAAAGAAGAACCAGCAGAGTAGACTGAGAAGGACTGATGGACAAGTGAAATAAAAGGCAGCCAGGGAACGTTCTCTGGGAGGCAGAAGGGGAAGATGTATTGTAGGGGGGCATGATCAGCTGGATTATTACCCATGGGTTACGTAGTTAGATGAGCCTGGTGTGGTTGAAGTAATTGCGTGAGGAATTGCAGACTGCAAATATGGGTAACTCTTGAGGCTTTTGCTTATAGCAGAGATTGGGGATGTAGGGGTCAGTAAAAGGTTTTGTTGTTGTTTTATAGATTTAGGGGTACAAGTGCATGTACTGCCTAATGGGGCAGTCTGGGCTTTAGTGCAACCACTCAAACAGTGTACACCATGCACAAGAGGTGATTTCTCCTTTTTTTTAAAGATGGAAACAACAACCTTGTTAGTGTGCTAACGGAAGTGACCCAGTTGAGAGGACGAAACGGATAGTGTGTGACTGGGGACAGTGTGGAGAGCAGAGTCCTGAGTAGAGAGTTCATATCCAAACTGAAGCGAGGAGTGGGAGTCAAGAGCGTCAAGGAGCCAGGAGTGGGTTTGAGCAGGGCGGCCTGGTGAAGGCCAGGAGCTCTCTCACAGAGAGAGCCCGGAACCGCCCTGCGGACAGGGCACGTGACTGCCTTTTTCTTTTTGTAATGACAAATGGAGACTCCTGCAACTTATGAATATATTTGTTTCTGAAATAATTGTCTGGTGCTTTATGATTTAAAAAATGAAGAATGATTTCCCAGAGGCAGAAGAGAAAAATAATTCTTTCCTTTTTCAAAAAAGTCACATTTTTTCCTACTACTTTTCTGAAATACGTAGTCTGTTATTGGCTTGTTTGATTACCTCATGTTTTTTCTTTTAACTTTTCAGGCTGGAGTAAGACAGCTTTATGTACAGATTGACTTTGCGGCCATGTAGTGAATGAAAAGAAATAATGCTTTTTTGGACCAAATTTTTCTGGTACTGTACAATCCAAAACATTGTACCCAGTTTTTTAAAACAGAGAAGTCATCGCCACAACTCCCAGCACCAAGCAGGCCAGGTAGAGTCAGTGTCTGCCCTGAGGAATCCATGGCCAGGGGATTGGAACTAAGGTCTCCTGGACGTTGGTCTTGTGTGTGCTTCCCTCCAAACTGCCTTGATTTCTGAGGTTACTGGTCTTCCTCTGAGTGTTGGTCTGTCCCTCCTTTGTGTTGTGTGTCTGTTTTCATGCCGAATACCCTCGCCCCGTCCTCTCATCCGGCCTATGAGAATTCAGACTCTGAGTCTCCAGTCCTCTGGAGTGTCTTCCGTGAAGCTGCTGGGAGCCACTGCTTTCATTCCCACAAAACCAGTGTTATTGTTATTATTTTTTTTCAAAGAAATGCAAATCTGTTTTATGCGTAATGTCACAATTGCTGACATTCCTCAGTATAACCATATGTTTGTAAAATTGTTTGTACCTTACAAACTTATGAACCAAACCATATTGGGTTTTCAAAGTGCCTTTGTATCAGAAAATGTATTTGCCAGCATAGAAATGTACCATCAAAGGTCATGTGTATGTGTTTAAAATGGATATTCTGTAATCTGTACAAAGTAGGACTCTTGCTAGTAAAGTCTACAGCTTGTCTTTTTGTGTACTTCCTATGTACTTTGTGCATAGGATTAGGGATATGAAAACCTTCTTTTTCTTGTATTTATCTCATCAAAAAACAAAAGGTGTTAATCTGCTTCTTAAAACAAATTTAACTATCACATTAAATTATGGGCTGTGTTTTCAAAACTTTGCAAATGCTTCTGTCATACAGAAAATTGTTTTGACTTAAAACATCTGTTGAATTACAAATTTCTATAAGAGCTATTGTGTCTATGATAAACTTTCCGTATATTTCCTTGCCATTTTAATAGATTTTATCGCAAAAAGAAAAGGCAGTGTAGCCTGAAGGCAGAGATGGTCGTGACAGTGTTGTTTTGCTTTTCATTCTTCAAACACCAAGTCATCCGATTAGTTTTCCTGTTTAAGCTTTGCACAGATATAGTTGCTTTCCTAAAGCAGCAGTTTACTGAGTTTGAATTACTAAAGGTACAGAGCAAGTGTGGTGATGCAGAGCCTTCCTCACACAGGGATCTGAGAAGTAAGAAGTTGACGTTCTGGGTTCTTGTGTATTTGAAAAATAAAATTGCAGTTTGAGATGACACATGCTTGAACACTATTTAAGTATCCTTTGTGTTTCATGAAGAGATAATGATCTGGAGAAACATTTTCCTGTTGTACTTCATTTCATCACAATATTTATTCCCTTTTAACGTTGAAAAGTTATACTTGGGGTAAAAGACCACTACGGGATGGTTAAGAACGTCGATAAATGCTAAGTACTTTCTCAGTGAGGTGGCGGATACCTTGGCTGTGTCGGTGCTGTTGGAAGGTGTCTGTCCCCATGTCTCACTTGCAGTTTCTGGCTGATCTATAGGAGGAGAGCGGCCCACTCTTTGTCCTTTTCTGAACTCTGCAGCTTGCTGTGAGCTGTCAGTAGCATCTTTCTTACAGATGAAGTGATACTTTCAAAACATGTTTGCCTGCTGCCAGGCAGCTCTAAAGCTAAAACTGTTGCAGTGTGATGTGTTTAACGGAACAGTCGCTGAGGCCCTTCGAGAGGGAAAGCCCAAGGAAGTACCCGGATGCTAGCTCTGCTCTTTCATTGTGGATGCGGCATTTGGACGCTGGCAGCCACTCCTAGGCCTGCAGAACTCTGGGCCACTCTGTGGGTTGGGGCGTATTATGGAAAAGAACAGCTCAGGATGGAGGCAGAGGCTTGCTATGTGCCTTAAGACCGAACTCTGTGTAGCTGTGCTGGCACTGCCTGTTGGAGACAACGGTGCTGGTCTCCAAGTGGCCTGTGGATTCTGCCTGCACTGAGACCTCCACTCCAAACGAAGCCTTGTCACACAGTACTTAGCTGTGCTCTCTGCTCACAGGCACAAGTAGCTTCACAGAGCATGTGGTGACGCTGATGTGACACTCCCTCTGCGCCTGCGTGGAAGAGGCCAGCTAGTGGCTCAGGGCAGGTTGGCATCAACACTCATGCTCCAGTCAAATGTCAGCACACCTGTGTGTGCAGCAGCAAGAAATCAGTGTGATAAAAAGCAAGAAGTACTTTGCCTTAGTGTTCTTGGCACATGTGTATCACTAAGGTCAACCATTTCATTGAGAGGTAAAACCTGATTTTTGTTATAAAGTAAATTTAGGGGCGGGCACTTGGGGAGGCGGAGGCAAGGGGATTGCCTGAGCCTAGGGGTTCGAGACCAACCTGGGCAACTTGGCGAGACCTTGCCTGTACAAGAAATAAAAAAATTAGCCAGACATGGTGGGTGGTTCAAGCCTGTAGTTCCAGCGACTTGGAAGGCTGAGGCAGAAGGATTGCCTGAGCCCAGCAGGTGGAGGCTGTGGTGACCATGAGTGTGCCACTGCATTCCAGCCTGGGCGACAGAGACTCTCGACTCAATAAAAATAGAAATAAAATAAATTTAACATGTTTTTGACACTGGGCTAACTCTTGTAAAAACAAAAAAACAAAACAAAACTGAGTAGTACTTGGCCAATATTTTCAAAACCAAGATATTCTCTGGTGAGCAAATGAGTATTGCTCAGGGGAAGTTTGCCTTGTAAACTTCCCCAAACAGATGTATAACTGTACCCATTCTCCTTTTAAAAATCTGGATTATATCACTCACAAAGGGCTTAGCAGACACCCAGCCCCCTCACTGGCTGACCCTGTGTCTTTGTGAAGGACAGTGTCCGGCTCATCTGGAGGTCACATCAGTGTTCCTCATGCCGTCATTCTTGCCGGTCGGCAACACACATCGCCAGCTTTGTGATTTCTTGTGTCTGTAGCGCTTCAGCACACGTATACCAGTCACCAAATACTGGGACTTTTGTGTAACTTTTTTAAGCAACCAAATCACTAACTCAGTTCTGTAATGTCTTACCTGCCTCCCCATGGAACAACAGAGATGGACATGGTAGGAGCCTGTTATGTGATGCCGGGTTTAAGAATGACAGTGCATTCCTTAACCCAGGACTTCACATCTCAGCAGGAACTGTCCTTAGCAGCCTAGTTTGCAGATGAGAAAACTGAAGCCCCAAAACACTGTCATTAGATCAGGGTCACACAGATTATCAGTGGCAAAGCCAGGCTTGGACTTTAGACCTTCTGACTCCAAGTTGGGCTCTTTGTACCCTGCCATGCTGCCTCTCCAGTTGATATTTGCCTTTCTTGAAATGTGGTCAAATATTATTTGTAAATAAAGGACACCTGACCTCCTTTTTTGGTACATTAAGGCACTTTATAAATGGAGTTTTATTGTCTCGTTTTTCAAACATAGTTATGAGGTTTAGGATAGTATTTCCATAGTATTCTTTATTAAAGCTATTATAATCAATTTTTAATCTTTTTTACTTTTCTAAAACCAGTTCCTGACATTTAAAAAGATGGTATCTGTACAATGAATCCTTTGAACTTCTGAGTGAAATGTTCTGGTAATTGCCTAAGGTTGTGTCCCATCTAGGGACTGCTGTTTCTTTACTTGTGAACTGGTTTGTTTAGAAACAGGGCTGATTCGCAGGTCATATCATTTCAGACTTGTCAGTTCTGCTTCCAGCCACAGAGAAGTTTTACATTTTAAAGATTCTTCAGAGCCATGTACAATTAGACATTACACATTGATAAAAGAAATCGTTTAATTCAGTAGGTAAAGTTCTGAAGTCTTACCAGAATCCCAAATGCTAAATGCTAAGTCCAACTCTTCATAGAAGCCTCACCTTGGGAAAGTTAGACTTTTTTTTTTCTTTTTGTCACCATCTTTGAAATATTTTCCATTTCATGAGAACTTTGGTAAAGAATGAATTATGTTTTCTTTGGAGGACATTCATTAAACGTTGTATTAGTGGAAGGGCTGTTTGAAGATTTGATCCCTCAGAAGCCTTAGCATTCTAGGTTTCAACCAGACTCAAATATAATGAAAAATTATGCATCAAAAAAGTATTTGAGAAAGGGAGCAGAGAAGTGCAGCTGCACTTAAATCCAAATAGATGTGATTCTTTCTGATGAGAGTGTTTTTCCTCATCAGAGACTGCAAATGACACAGAAAGCAGGGCTGGGTGTCACCTGTGTTACGTGTTTCTGTGCCAGGCGCTCCAGGTGGCCTCCTTCATGTCCCCACATTTAATCCTCAAATTTCTATAAAGAAAATTTTGAATGATTTTATACTTGAGAGCATTTTCAGACATCTTTTCTCTTATAACTTACCGTGAGGAGCTCTTATACCCACTTGCAGATGAGGAAGCTGTTTTGAGATGTTTTGCATGACCTTTCTGAGGACACAGCCAGCCACGGACCACTGACTGATAGCCCACTAGCAGCGACTTTGTGGATGTGAACCAGTCCACAGAGTTGTAACGATCCAGGAAGCTGCAGCGGGTCTCAACAGACTCCTGTAAAGTGAGTGAACAGTCACCACAAGATAGAGACTCATTCCTTCTTTCTCACCTACCTTTGCCATTGAACTGTGTTGGCTTGGAGGAATCAGAACTTCTTTAAGTGTTTTAAGGCTGGGTGCCATTGCTCACGCCTATAATTCCAGCACTTTGGGAGGCCGAGGTGAAAGGATTGCCTGAGCCCACAGGTTCAAGACCAGCCTGGGCCAATTGACAAGACCTCATCTCTACAATAAATCAAAAAATTAGCCGGGCATGGTGGCGCACACCTATAGTCCCAGTTACTTGGAAGGCAGAGGTGGAAGGATTGCCTGAGCCCAGCAGGTCGAGGCTGCAGTGGCTGTGAGTGTGCCACTGCGCTCCAGCCTGGGGGACAGACTCAAAAAAAGTATTTTAAAACCATTAAACAGAAACCGTAGAAAGTTTTATTGGCACTTGCAGAATAACCTGCTTACGAGACTGACCCAAAGACAGCCCTCTGTGCCAGTATGAGGAGAGAAACGGAGCTTCTGCCCAGAAGAGTTCATCAGGCAATTATAATTATCTCCTAGAAAGTATAAATAATTTTGCACTGCAGGAGAGGGAGGCGCCTTTCAAAGAAAGAAATCTGTTTCACAAATAGTAGCAATCTATGCCTAACACTTTGAACTCTCTACAACAGCTTTGAAAATTATTTGTAATTTTGATTGTGGTGTTGGGAAGCTTGTAAAAGAGAATATCTTTGTCTTATACGTCCTTTTATCCCCATCTTACCATGGAATTATACTCACATGCTCAGTGAATGTTTGGTTAACTGGCGGGCACTGTAGATAGTAGAGGACACAGAAGTAAGAGGTGGGGACGGGAAAACCAGTCACCATTGATTATAGAACACATCTCGCCATGTCTTTGGCACTTTTGCACAAATGCTTGGCTTTATGTTCATCTTGGCCATTTTCCTTCACATATAGTGGAAATATACAACATTTTTCATTTTGCATATTAAAGGGCAGGAATTGCACAGGACTGGGACTGTGCAACCTGAGCCACTTTGATTTTTATATCTTGTATGGCCAAATCACATACCAGAGTTTCCTTTGTGTTTATGGAAAATGGCTGTATTCCTATCACTTTAAGGACCTGTGTTCAACGTGCATTCTATTTCATTTATCCCAGATATATTATCATCCCAAACCCCTTCAGAGGCATTTCTCGAAGGTGCTTCTATAAAACAACACTACATGTTGTTAAGTGATTTAAATATCCCCAGAATATTTTTACCTTTTTTTCTCTTTTCCCCTCCAAATGCA